CACAATTTTAGAGCTCTATGTTCATAATTTTATCACTATATGTTCATATTGTAAGTTCATAATGTCAGAGCTCTGTGTTCATAATTCCATAACTGTACATTCATAATTGCATAACTGTACATTCATAATTGCATAACTGTACATTCATAATTCCGTAACTGTACATAATTCAGTAACTATAAAATCATAATTTTCAAAGCTCCATGTTCACAATTTTAGTGCTCTATGTTCATAATTTTATCACTATATGTTCATAATTGTAAGTTCATAATGTCAGAGCTCTGTGTTCATAATTTTATAACTTACATTCATAATTTCATAACTGTACATTCATAATTCCATAATTGTACATTCATAATCCCATAACTGTACATTCATAATGGCATAAACGAATAACGCCGTTAACGGCGAGACAAAATCAAAATTTTTTTTAACTGGAATGACGCGTTTTCCCTGAAAACGACGTCGTTTTGGACTCTAGTCCACAATGCATTGTGGACACGGGTCCAGGGCATAATTTGCGTCTTTACTGATCCCAAGCGTAGACGTGTTGTGGGCTTGGATGAGGCAACTATTGGGCCTGGATTAGATGGAAGCCCAAACTTAATGGATGTTTCACCTGTTGCTATTTCTTTTGAGGCGGGTCCTTTGTTACAGGCCCGCCAGGTCTAATGAGTCTCCTAGCCTAGAACTGTCGTGGGCTTGGCCTGCTTATGATAGTTCATGTTCTTTTGTACCTTGTCTGTTTACATAGGCCTAAAGTTATTTTCCTTAGTGAGACTATGTGTGGTCAAACTAAACTAAATAGTATTCAAATAAAGCTGGTTTACCAGAGTGCTCTTGTGGTCAACGATGTTGGTAGAAGTGGGGTCTGGCTATGCTTTGGTCGGATGATGTTGAGGTGCAGATTACTGGTTATTCCCAACGCCACATTCACGCAATCATTCGTCTTGCAGTTGGGCAACCGGAGTGGCGGTATACCGGGTTCTATGGCTATCCTAACCAGGCTCGGCAACAATGTTCTTTGGACCTATTGAGGTATCTCTCGTCCTTATCTTCTCTTCCTTGGGTTGTAATGGGGAATTTCAACGATTTGTTGGACCCTAGTGACAAATTTGGGAGAGTTCCCTATCCAGTGCATCGGTTTTGGGGTTTTGGGGATGCAATTAGGGACAGCGGGTTGTCTGATTTTCCTTTTGCTGGAAGCCAATTCACTTGGGAAAGGGGTAGGGGTTCGGGTGATTGGGTTAGGGAGAAACTTGATCGGATTTTCTGTTCCGATGAGTGGGGTGATTTGTTCAGGGCTGCGCGGGCAGAATCAATTTCGTGTGGGGGTAGTGAGCACCTTTTTTTTTTTTTTTGTTAATCCCTATTCGTTAGCCCCAACCTAGACAGCATCGCTGTTTTCGCTTTGAAAATAAATGGTTTGGGGGGGGGGGGGGGAGGGGGACAATACCGTGATATTGTAGAAGGGGTCTGGGATGTTCACGCTGACATGGGTTTACCGCAAAAAAATTACAGTATGTGGGGCTTCTCTTAAGGATTGGGGTAGAAGTCGTAGGGGGGAAACAAGGGATTTGTTAGAGGAATGCTGTGGAATTATGGATCGACTGCATGATAAGGCTGATGGGAGGAGTCTTAGAGAGTATAACACTGCCTAGAAAGCTTACCTTCAACATCTTCATGACCAGAACACTTATTTGCAACAAAGTGCTAAACAGTTTTGGCTTAGGGATGGGGATATGAATACCCGACATTTTCACACCTTAGCCCGCCAAAGACAGCGTAGAAACACCATTCTTCGCCTCAAAACTGGAAATGAGATTTGGGTTAAGGGAAGGCAGGAGGTAGCAAGGGTGGTAGTTACCTATTTTAGGGATCTCTTTACTGCCAATCGAGGGGATATAAGTCCTGTGTTATCTTGTATTAAGGGTAGAGTATCAGCTGACCAAAATATTGACCTATTGAGTGAGGTGTTGGTGGAAGAGGTTCATAATGCTCTTTTTTCTATGTATCCCGATAAGTCTCTAGGGATAGATGGTCTAATCTCGGGATTTTATCAAGAATACTGAAAAATTATGAAGGAGGATGTTGTTTTACTTTGTAATGATGTGGTTAGGAATTAGATCTTGCCTAATGGTCTAAACAATGCCCACGTAGCTCTTATTCCAAATATTAAACATCTTGTTCAGATGGGGGATCTTCGCCCTATTGCTCTTTGCAATGTGCTTTATCGAACCTGGACTCGTTTAAGCACTTCTTTAATATGAATTCATCCACCTTAGAGTGGTTGTGTGGCCTGTTAGAGCTGCTGATGGAGTGCCGCAACCCAGTTGACTTGCCTCTTAACCTCATCGTCGAGACTAGGCTTAGAATTGGGTTCTTCCACCTCGTCAGCGGCGCTGATTTTCGGGAAATCTCTAACCAATTTCGGGTCTCGGTCTCCGCATCCTAATTCTGTGTCAAACAGCTATGTTGGATGCTCTACAACAATTTCCGATTCGGGGTCGGGTTTCCCAGCCCGAACGGGCTCTAGTTCGTGTCAACTCAATTCGAAACCCTCTCTGAGATGCCCAAATTCTGCTAAGTTATCCAATGCGCCAGGTTCAAGATCAGAAGAAACAACGACTCCATCTCAGTTCCTAAAGATAGGCTTCAAGAAAATGGCAACGAATTATTGATGCAGAACGGTGACGAAAGGTAGTGCTACAATTCTTGATTTTAAGCTTTGATTTCTTCCATTTTCATAGTACAAGGGCTGAAAAGGTATGCCTGTAATTCAATTACAGAGAACGTAGGAGTGTTTAACCTGAGGAAGGGTTCTTAGCACGGTGATTGACGCTTTTTCCCCTCAAAATAACGGTAATTGGATAGCATTTGTAATGGAGGACCAAATTGAGTTTATTTTAAAAGTTAAAGAATTAAATTTGGTCATTTATAAAATTTGGGATTAAATTAAGCAATACTTAATAGTTGATGGACCAAAATGGGAGTGTTTAACCTGAGGAAGGGTTCTTAGCACGGTGATTGACGCTTTTGCCCCTCAAAATAACGGTAATTGGATAGCATTTGTAATGGAGGACCAAATTGAGTCTATTTTAAAAGTTAGAGAATTAAATTTGGTCATTTATAAAATTTGGGATTAAATTAAGCAGTACTTAATAGTTGATGGACCAAAATGGGTATTAACTTTAATAATAATGATGATGATGATGATGATGAATGCTGTGAACGTAACATATTATAAACATTACATATGTAACTTTAGGCATTATAAGCATTATCATTTCCAAGCATATAGTAAAGTTTTTCCATTATAGTAACGTCCTACAGCAATCGTGGGCCTGTACTTCACAAATGAAAGCCCACTCCAATCACCATGTTCCACTTTGCTTTGCATCAGCTTGGGACGTCTATGTTAATTCGTTATGTGTGCACACGATTGCGAACGATGCTGTTTTACTATGATGGAGTAACGATGTTGTTAGTGGCATCATTTAACTCCACCATTCAATTTTTTTTTTTTTTTAACTCCAATCGGCGGAATTTTCACCATTTTTGGTGTGGATATATAGTTCACTAATTCTGCATATGTAGTTCACTAATTCTGGATATATAGTTCATTAATTCTGGATATAGTTCATTAATTCTGGATATATAGTCAGTGGCGGATCCAGAAATTTTTTTCAGCGTGGGCAAAATATTAAAGCAAAATTGATAATTAGAAAAAAAAAAAAATAAAACACTTAAAAAGTATAGCCATAAATAATGTAGGATATAGGAAATTTATAAAACACATCAAAACATTATAAAAATATTCATAACAAAATATGAACATAATCAATTTGATAAAATAATTTGAACAAAAGAATCCATTATAAATTACACATCTCATCTCATTATTAATATAAATGAAGATTATATATATATATATATATATATATATATATATATATATATATATATATATATATATATATATGAAATTGTGTTGAAGCAATATGCACTATTAATAATAGTGAAAATTTGAAATAATGAGAAAATGTAGTGTTGAAAACATATGAAAGGAATAGAACACTTGCCTACCTTAAAGCCAACTATGCACTTAGCCAACTACGCTAACCCACCTTCTATTAATATTTGTCTATTTACTAATACTTATACTAAAACTTGTACTATATATACACATATACATACAAGGGTTATATAAGGGGTGGTGGTGGGGTGAGTGGGGGAAGCTGACCCCACTGGCCCCACTGTAGGTCCGCCACTGTATATAGTTCACTAATTCTGAATTTATAGTTCATTAATTATAAATATATAGTTCATTCATTCTAAATACACAGACGTAGCAAACTGCCATAAGCCAAAACAGAGTACCAGTAACCGTTGTTGGATATATTGTTCACTAATTCTAGATATATATATATATATATATATATATATATATATATATATATATATATATATATAGTTGATTAATTCTGGATATATAGTTCAAACTATGCACAGCATAACGCCGTAAACGGCAATCAAAAATATTTTTTTTTAAAGTCAGACATCAATGGAAAATGATGCATTAGTCAAAGGAAAATAAGTATGTTTTGGGGTAAACTGACTTTCCCTTTTTTTTTTTTTTGGGAAGTCATTTTCTAAGTGATGCACGTGCAAAATTTTTCGGACCTAATTTTTTACGGGCTTTTGCATGTCGGCCCACCAAGCCCGTGGGCTAGGATTCATACAACCATACCTCACCCATGTGGGTTGACGAGTCCCATGACCTGGTCCGCGGACTTTTTTTTTTTTTTTTAAATTTTCAAATTTAAAAAAATAAATCTACAAATAATATTCACTTTTTCGTACTTAAAAATTACATTTTTAAAAATGTTGATATATATATATATATATATATATATATATATATATATATATATATATATTTCATAATCTCATAAAAAAAACATTTATTAAATTATGAATTTTCTGTTATGAGATTATGAATTTACAGTTATGTAATTATGAATTTTCTGTACATTCATAATCTCATAACACGAAATTCATAATCTCATAACAGAAAATTCATAATCTCATAAAAGAAAATTCATAATTTCATAACTGCACATTCATAAATCCATGCCTGCACATTCATAATTTATGAGTGTTGAAGAAACTTGCGCGAAGATGAAGTGAAACCGCAAAATGTGAATATGAAAAAGAAAAGTCGCGCTGTTAATTTTTTTTTAAAAAAAAAAATTTGTGAAAGATAACGGTGCCCGTAGCCACCGTTACCGTTTGGGACCGTGTTCTCCATGGATGGTGAACACGGTTCCATGGCATAATGATTGGGGTAAGATGGCAATTTATATCCTACACCACGGCGCGCGTTGCACTATGCGCCCAGATGCAAAACGACGTCGTTTTAATTTTTTTTTTTTTTTTTAATTTCCCGCCCCAGTGAATGACAGTAGTTTTTTCTTTTTTTAAAAAAAAAACCCGATGTTCAAGAATGTACATAATGTTATACTAGAATACACATAATTGTATACATGAATGTACATAATTATATAACAAAATATACATACTCTTTTTAAAAGATAATACACATAATCTAACATAATACATAATAAACATAAACTTTTAACATAATACACACAATTTTTCTGATTCGGATGTACATAATTGTATAAAAAGAATGTACATAATTGTATAAAAAATGTACATAACTGTATGAACCAATACACATAATTGTGTGAACAAATACACATAATCCCAGCAACTTCCTACCGCGCCTCCCAAAACGACGTCATTTTGGGAGGCGCGCGGCGCACAGTGCTATGTGCGCCGTGGTGTAGGGTATAACGATTGGGGTAAGATAAGGTAGGCCCCTCCAAGCATGGGCCCTGGGCAAGGGCCTAGCCTGCCTTTGCCCAGGGCTGGGCTTGCTTATACATAATATGTTAATTATAGTAGATATAATGCAGTTAACATATAATGTTTCTATAGTTAACATATGATGTGTCTTCAATTTATTTACAGACACATAATATACTTTTTTTAAATACAAGGTACATTTTTAATATATTAAAAATACATTATTTGTATATTGAATGTACATTACTTGATAGTATAAAAAATAATATACTTTCAATATTCAAATAATATACTTTATGTATATAAATAATGTACTTTTTATTTATGAACTATTTATACCATAATCCACACAATAATGATTGATAATTTGCCGTATTAGTATCGATGGGCCAATTTTATTATACCACACTTTATTGAACCAGGCCTAGTGAATGGAAAAGTAATCAAATGTTAATCCTGAAACTTTATGAGTGAATTATAAAGGAGACATGAATAATTTTATGATACTAGACACTTTATTGAACCAGGCCTACTGCATGGAAAAGTAATCAAATGTTAATCCTGAAACTTTATGAGTGAATTATAAAAGGAGACATGAATAAAAGGTGATGGGGCATTTACATTCATATTGTTAAATAGTAACCCATAATATGTTAATAAGAGACACATAATATATTAATTGTAAGGGAAAATTACACTTTTCGTCCCTAAATTATAAGGTAATTTTAGAATTCGTCCCTAAGTGTTGGGCATACTCAATTTTCGTCCCTAAGTTATCATTGACGTTGCACTTTTCGTCCCTGAGTTATAAGATAATTGTAGGATTCGTCCTTAAGTGTTGGTCATGATCACTTTTCATCCTTAAGTTATCATTGACGTTGCACTTTTCGTCTATGAGTTATACAAAAATTGCAAATTTCATCCCTAATCACTACTACATAAATGGTATACTACGTCACTTAATAGACGACGATTTTTAAAATAACCGTCATCTAATATATTGTGTTATACTACGTCACTTAATAGACGGCAGTTGTTTAAATAACTGCCGTATATAGTTGACATACACGGCGGTTGTTTAACCGTCGTATATAGTTAACATACACGAAAAGTGAATATTTACAACGGCAGTCACTTGCACGCGCGACACTTCGAAAACCGTCGTGTATGTGTAAAAAAAAAAATCGCAGGTGGTTATTTAAAGTGTATGACGTAAAAAAATTAATTAAGGTATATACGGCTATTATTTAAAAAACCGTCGTCTATTAAGTGACGTAGTATAACAAAACAGCTAGACGATGGTTATTTGAAAAACCTCCGTCTATTAAGTGACGTAGTATACCATTTATGTAGTAGTGATTAGGGACGAAATTTGCAATTTTAGTATAACTTAAGGACGAAAAGTGCAACACCAATGATAACTTAGGGAACAAAAGTGAGCATGACCAACACTCAAGGACGAATTCTATAATTACTCTATAACTTATGGACGAAAAGTACAACACCAGTGATAACTTAGGGACGAAAAGTGAGCATGACCAACACTCAGGGACGAAATATACAATTACCCTATAACTTAAGGATGAAAAGTGCAATTTTTCCTAATTGTAATAGGCACAATGCAGTTAACATACTACGTTACTGTAATTAATATATTATGTGCATTCAATTTATTTACATAATATATTAATTGTAGACACATAATTTGAATGTCATTTTGGATTAAGCTCAACAATGTAAGATTGACATTGGTTCATGATATAATTTGCCATATTACTATTGATGAGCCAATTTTGGGGTGACGATGGAAACCTTCAGATCAGTCACTATCCGAAGATGTGTACGGGATAGAGCAGCCTCATTTGTTGTAGTTTTTTTGCACGTCATGTAAGAGAGAGAATGAAGTGAGAAAAGAAAAAGAAAAAAAAAAGGAAAAAGATGAAAGAAAAATCCAAAAAACTAAAGGCTATTTACGTGCCCAAAAGGTGTGTGCACTACATGCGCCTTCTGGGCGCTAACATTGCTGCACACGTACAGTAATCTGCTCAACTTTCTCCCTTCCCTCCAAAAGTGGATCCCATCCAAAAATCACATTTACAGGAGAATAACTACCCCAAAAATCCTATTTTTCATTAGATAAAAATCAATCACTAATTTTTTCTTCTTTATTGAGCAAAAACCCCTAATGGGATTGTTCTAAGTCTCCTCTTATTATCCTAGCTGACAAAAGACCACAAAAAGATAAATCAGCTTAAATTTTTCATAACTGACCGACTCAAACTAAAAAGGTTGAAATTCAAACTTGTGACCTTGTGATTATACGTTGTATCCTGGCCAGGGCCGTCCCTGGGCAAGTCTGCCCAGGGCGGCCGCACAGGGCCCCCGAATTTTGGGGGCCCCAAAAAAAAAAAAAAAAAAAAAAAAAAAACATAGTATTAGGTAGTTTAGGCTTCAATGCGGAAGACTACAAACAAAGCCCAAATTAAAGCTCATAAACCTTTCTTTAAAAAAAGCCCAAAGCTCATAAACCTTTCTTAAAAAAAAAAAAAAAAAAAAAAAAACAAAGACAAACACCGTATCGGAAAATTATGCTATGGACCCGTGTCTACCATGTGCATGATGGACACGCTATACATTCATAATTTATATACTGTACATTTATAATTTCTATACTGTAGATTCATAAAATTTATAATGTAGATTAATAATTTCTATACTACACATTCATAATTTCTGTACTGTAGATTCATAATTTCTGTAATGTATATTCATAATTTCTAAACTGTATAGTTATCAAATTATGAACACATAGTTATTAAATTATGAATCTACAGTACATAAATTATGAATGTGCAGTATAGAAATTATGAATCTACACTACAAAAATTATGAATGTGCATTATAGAAATTATGAATCTACATTATAAATTTTATGAATCTACAGTATAAAATTATGAATCTACAGTATAAAAATTATGAATGTATAGTGTGTCCACCATGCACATGGTGGACACGGGTCCAGGGCATAACGCTCCCACCGTAACAATGGATTAGCTTTAATCTCTATTGAAAATGACATTTTAGAAGACGTTGATATCAAAAGTTTGGTGGATGATTTTGCATCTAAGTGTGCACGACGCATGTCACTTTTTAAATAAAATTTTAGATGTATTTTTTTTATACAATATTTATATTTTAAATTTTTAACACAACTTTTTGAACAACTATTATTTGTGTATAAAAATTTATTGAAAAAGGAGGCCCAAATCAAAATATTGCACAGGACCCCAATTTTTATTGGAACGGCCCTGATCCTGGCCATCTTAATTAAAATTATCTCCGATTGGCACATTTTATAATAGTAGACACTTTACTGAACCAGATCAGACCCATGCATGGAAAAGTAATCAAATGTTAATCCTGAAACTTTATGAGTGAATTATAAAAGGAGATATGAATAAAAGGTGATGGGACATTCACATTCATATTGTTTTCAACTATTCTCACTGTCCCTTCTATTTCATATTGTAATAAGGCTATCCACACCTTTAATTTACAATTTTTTCTCACTTTTAAAATATCATATCACAAAATTAATAATTATTTGCTAATTATTATTTACTCTTCATTCATATAATTTTCTCACATCTTTTAAAAATAGTCTCACTTTGATATATATCAAAATCACCTTATTAAAAATTATATTTTTTTATCAATAAAGTAATACGGAGTAATAATAATAATAATAATAATAATTATTATTATTATTATTATTATTATTATAAACAAATAAAAAAGGTAATTGCATATCAGTTGCAATTCTGACACAAATTGCATTTGTTGCAATTCTTATGTGCCAGAATTGCAACAAATAATCTTAAAATAAAATAAAATAATCACATAGGATTTGCAATTGCCATCTTCTCATGCGTGTGGATACCCTGGCCTATGGCTATCTTCATCCATACAATTCTCTCCCACTTTCAAAATGCCACATAATTAAATTTACAATTATTTCCTATTTACTTTGCATTTTGGCAATTTGCTCTCCTCTTTCAAAAGTGGTCCACCTTCAAATCACCTTAACCAAAATTTGTTTCTTTTATCAATAAAAAAATTCTTTTCTACAATTAATCTATGTTATCAAAATAAAAATTAATTTAAGATATTACAAATTAATATTTAAAATAAAAAATTATGTAAAAGAAATATTAATTCATATTTAAAACTCGAAGTACATTAAAATTACTATAATTTAAAATATAAATATGAAAATATTACAAATGTGAAATACAATTAGGGTGTGTTCGTTTGGTTCGCATATGGGAATCGGAATCGGAATGGGTATCAAATACTTGGTAAATGTAATGAGTTTTAGTGAAAGTATTTTGCATGTTTGGTAGTAGGGTGGAATGTGAATGATTATCAATAATGATGTTTGGTTGTGTATGATCTGATAATGAGAATAAAGATTTTTAAAATACAAGAACACAAAATCAAGACAAATGATTCTAATATAAAGACATCCAAAACACCAATATGAACAAAAAAATAAAAACAAAAATCTAAAAGTACTAATCAAAGGGGATGAGAAGGAATAAGAGAATGAAAGGGGATGGTATGGGTTTTTTTAATTAAGGGGATATTTGAATATAGTAGTGTTCTAAAAATCTATCAACCAAAGAATACCAATCACTTTGATACTCATTCCTTAAAGCTAAACATGTTAACCAAACACACCTTTAGTTATTCGTTTCTTCTCCACCAAACCGGTTTAATATCAATCTCTTCAATCAAGTCTTCTTGTAGTCGATGATTAGTTGGCCTATTGCGAATCATAGCATGATTTCAAATATATTCTTCATTTCGAATCAAGTGTTCTTCTGTACTTTCAGGCATGCATACATTGAAAATTTCAATTTGAGCAAATACCAATTTTGGTCCCACGGGTATTAGCAAAATAACGATTTTGGTCCATATGTTTAATTCCTACCAATTTTCATCCACAACTATTGTTTTAGTACCAATTTTCATCCACAACTATTATATTAGTACCAAAAATCATCACGCCGGTCACCCTTCCATTTAAGAGATGCCGAAATCTAAAAATTGTAAGGACATTTTCGTCTTTTTCAACATAAGATTGTAATTTGAGCAAGAATAAAGGGATTTAAGCCCTAAAATCGATCCTAATTCGCAATTCTCATCCTCATCCTACCTTTAGTTGTGGAGAAGAACTACGAATTGGATAGATCTTATGGCTTAAATCCATTTATTCATGCTCAAATTGGAATCTTAATTTGAAAAGGACGAAATACCCTTAATAATTTCATTTTTGGCATACCTTAAACGAATGGGTGACTAACGTGATGAATTTTGACACTAAAACAATAGTCGTGGATAAAAACTGGTACTAAAACAATAGTCGTGAATAAAAATTAGTAGGAATTAAACATATGAACTAAAACTGTCATTTTGCTAATACTTGTTGGACCAAAATTGGTATTTGCTCTTTTCAATTTCATCCGTATAATCGATGACTTCACTGAGTTCGAACCTATATATGACCTCCTATTTGCCAAAACCACATATCAAGAGGTGTCATTGAACTACAGACTGCTTGGCAATTAGGCAATTAATTAGAGTGAATTTTGTTTGCAGGGAGTTGGAAATGTACAAAGGCGCAGGATCCAAGCCCGAAACTTGTGCTTCCTGCCATATGGATTCGGCATTTTAATAGGACTGCCAACCCAATCCCACCTTAATCTGCATGGAATATAATAATTAAATTATTATGATTTCACTTAATAATTAACCACAAAGATTATTATATGTATATATATTGAATCAAGCTTTGATATGATATTGTGATGGACTTACACTGGGAAGGCAAAGGAATCTCTGGTAGCCTGGGATTGATTAGAATCAGTTGATTGAGTTGATTCAACCTCATGATCTCCTACTGCACATTCCCCATCTTTTCTCCATTTCTCCACACCCTAGCTTCCAACACAAAACCACACCTTAATTAATTTACGTACACCTCGTATTCTTCAATATCAGCATTCTAAATAGATGGAGATTTTAGTTAATTTTGCATAGGTAATCAAAAGAGAGAACATGAGAGAGAAGAGGGAAAAGAGAAAAAAAATAACAGAACTAACGCGCCTAACAGGTGCGTGCTGGGCGCACATCAATTGCCCGTAAAGCGCAAGTAATGGGAAAGTCATTGCTTCTGTGGGACAATGTGTCTTACCATAAATAAGTCTTGCAAAAGAAATTAAGAAGGCGTTTGGTTGGAAGTAAGGAATTAGGGTGAAAAGTAATTGCAATTCGGTGGGAAAAGAATAAAGTGGAATAAAGTAGGAATTCAAATTACATTGTTTGGTAGGGATGAATAGAATTATTGGGTAGGGAATGAAAGAAGTGATACTTAAAATGTCCTTGTGTAATAATAATAGTAGTAATAATTAAGGGTACTTTTGTCATTTCATCCTTTTTTCCTTTTCCCACAACCATCGAATTGCAATTCATAAGGGTGCCCATGAATTGCAATTCAGCAAAAGGAGGAAATTGCAATAAATCATCCAAAAAATCCCGTATTGAGATGCTTTATAAATTCTAGGTAAGATGTTTTGGCAGGAACATAGTCATCTATAGGTATGAGTATAGGTTTTCCTAAATAATACATACACCTCAAGGCTCAAGGTCTTCACACATTCCAATGAATTGAAGTCCTCAGGATTCTCTATCACACCTTTTCATAAAGTCCCATCAACTCCTTTATTGCCGTAATAATGACGTTTGGAAAAGCAAGAGGATTACACTAAATAATTTCGAATATATTCTAAATGGCTCTATGAGTTTAAAAAAATTTAAAAATATATATAAAACAAAAACTATTTTGTAAAAAAGAATTATGAGTATTTAAAAAAAAATAAAAATTGAGGGCTAACTTGGTCAGAGTGGGGCCATAAATGAGGGGAAGCCTCTGGTCTTGTGTCATCTTCCATGAGCCGAATTTCACCATTTTCTGTGAAGCAGAAAGCAATGTAGTCCTCTTCTCGGAATCGGATCCTTCTCTCTTCGCTCATGGCTTCATCTTCTTCATCCTCTGAAATATTAAACAATTCTTTTCAAAGTCTTTCAGCTCGAAATTTTAAACCGAATTTCTTTTATAAAATAAAGAAGATTGAGAGATAATCCAGGGTTACCTGGAGGTGGAAATTTGCATGAATATAAACGTGAAGCCCAATGCTTAATCTTCCATACAAAGAGGCTTGTTATTGTAACTGGAGGAGGGCTGCTCATCATATCGATTATCAATCTTCTACCTGCAATATAATGCTGATTAATTGATCTTATATTTGATGATAATGAGTGGGAAAATATAAAATTTGAAATCTAAATTTTGGGTCATTGAGGAGCCAACGTTTGGTCCTTCCAATTATCATTGATTACTAAGAGTTAATTACTTACTTAATTGTTCCTCTCCATATATGGTATTGGAGTAATTTAGGGAAATATTGATTTATTTGGCAACACAAAATGATAAATTACACCCTGTGTTTTAAATATCTATACTTATATACTATGAATAAAAACAAAATCATTCACTTTAATTTCTCGCCCAAAACAGTCTTATACTATTAAAATCCACACCCCGGCGGGGAGGTTAAAATTTGCGTAATATAATATTGTATAATACAATCCCTAAGGGCCTCCCACACCCCGGCAGGGAGGATGTAAATTATGGTGACTCAACTGAACATGAACCACAGAGGCTAGACCGGTGCTCACTGCGCACAAGAAGCCCCCCACACTGCCGCTGATGAGACTCGATCCCTGGTCATTCTTCCAAAATTTTACCTCTATGACCAGTTGACCAGTTTTACATAAAATTCTTATTCTAATATTGTAAAATAGGGTAATACAATTTGTAATATAATATATTGTTTCTTACTTTCCTATTCGTACTACCATTCTACATTAAGATTCCAATTCGTAGTACAATACAACAATATTAAACTTGAAAAATTATAAAAATACTCTGTATCATGTAACTATATTAGATTGAAAATGTTATTAAATATTTCAGGTGAAAATTTTTACATGTCAATCATTGTAAATCAAAAGGCATGATGACATTTTTTTTTGCAAATCTAATAATAATAATAATAATAATAACAATAATAATAATAATAATAATAATAATAATTTATTAAAAAAATAAAATAAAATAAATTAAAAATAAAGCATAAGGGCAGCTGGTTCGGCTCCCCTTAGTTTGCCACTTTTCCCACATCGGTGGAAAAAGTGGCATGGGAGCCTTGAGGCTCCTATAAAAGGAGTCTCAAGGCTCCAACATAAACATTAAGCTTGCCCAGTCGTTGATGGGCAAGCAGTGAGCCAGCCAAACTGACTCTTGCATTCTAGGAGCCGAAACAACTTCTCCACAACAAATGTTTTAAAAAAATAAAAAATAATATAGGGGTGTCCTGAAACACTAAGTGCAAAACCTACAAATTGCAGTGTTTGCATTTTTAACGGTTTGGAGCAAATCGATGTTCTAAACCGCTGAATAACCAAACACTCTTTTTAGTGTTTTAACCAAGGTCAAAAATGCTAAAGTAATGGATCTGTCGTAATTTTGGCAGATACGCCATTTACTAAACATGCCCACAGAGTAATCTAATAATTATTATGATAATTAAATTAATAAAAATAAAATCATACTTTTGATAATATGGGATGAAGCACTAATGACACACAAATACTGTTTTGAGGCTTTGGACAAAACCATGAGGGATCTATTGAAATGCGACATGCCGGGTTGTGTTGAAAAGACTTTTGGTGAAAAGATAGTAGTTTTGGGCGACGATTTTAGACGGTTCATTTGAGATTGATATTCCGGCACGGATTTTGTTGAAGCGTGGGACGATCCCATAGCAACTATAGTGGAAAACACCTTCCCAAGCTCGAGATATGACATGTTTGATGAGCCGCAGCTAGAAGGCCGAGCGATCCTCTCGCCGACTTTAGATGTCGATGATTAAATTAATCAGTACATGTGCGACATTGATACTGCAGTAGGACGAACATATTTAAGTTGTTACTCTGTGTGTAAGGCAGCATCAGATAGTGAAAATGTAACACCCCCAATTTTAAGCAATTAAAACTTAAGAAATAAGGCAAATTACCATTTAATTAAAGCTAAGCGGAAGCTAACAGTCAATCGGGGTATGCTATGCCACAACTAAGTTCCCAAACCTAGTTGCACAATCTTTACAAAACACTATACAACAATCTACAAGTTCAAGGCTTGCAAGCCAAACTACTGCTAAGCTATCAGAAGGAGGCTAGTCTACCGGCTCCACTATCGTACTCTCGGCTCAACTACTTTGCACCTGAAAAACATATGGGGTAGCACCTGTTAGCGAATAATGCTAAGTAATCCACACTACTCGTTGAGTACCATATAATATAGATATAGAGAAAAGCATTTGAGACTTGGAATACCATATATAATCTTTTAAAACGAAGAATTGGAACAACACAAGATATAAAGAAATCACTCTCAATCAAGGACCGACATCCAACAGTTACTTAATAATCAATAAGAATGACAGAAGCAACATGCTTAACAATAAGATACATCATACGACAATTAATCAAGGAACAACATTAATCATACTCATAAACTATGAGAGACAAGATTCACATTCAATGACATGTTCCAACCTTATGACTACCCTCAACCTTATTTCAGTTCTAACCATTACCTCCTAGTGCCACCCTGTACACCTAGTCCAACATTTTCCCTCCGGAGCCTTTATATTGCTCCCCGCCTGCATCCGCCAGCTTGCCACCGAACGTAGACATTCGTAATTTCATTAATCATTTAGTACTAATCACATGATAGTATACCGCCAACACATAGTAACACATAGTCATTATCATAGAGGATTGAGGCTCATCAATAGCCCAATCAAGTATCAACAAATGTGTACAACATCATACCAAGGAATTCAATAGATAGATTTCAATGAAAGACATGAATCAATAATCAAGACAATGATACAACAACGATAGACTTTAATCCAAAGATTACCATGATTGGCAACACAAGTTGCCAATCCTCATTGGGAACAAGTGAACAACGCATACTAGCATCAATAACATCATAACTAGAATGTACATCAAAAGGAGGAACATAACGGTTCAACCAACATCAATGAATTCACATTAATCCAACGAATCACAAGGTTGGACTTTAAGCACGATTCAAGACTCAAAATCCTCTCACGGATACTTAGGACACCGTTCTAAACGTACGAAATATCAAAGGAAACACACAAGTGCACAACGATTCAACAAAGCGGAGGCCAAAACATCACGTACCAGTGGGCGGAACGGTGGGTGGACAACCACCCGCCACACCCCCTTACAGGTACCAGCGGGTGGACCTCCACCCGCGGCTCCTCCCGCCGGCCACAACCCTTCCACCCGCGGGTGGAACGGCGGGTGTACAGCCACCCGCTGTTCCGCCCGCGGGTACACGTACTTAGGGGAAAAACATCAACATTGCCAAGGTCAAGTCCAAAACACCCAAAATCTCACATTCAACAAGGAAATGACCTGAACACATGAATAGCTCAATAAATAGCATTTATGAACCCTAGAGCTAAGCTCTAAGCATGCATAAACACAAGATTATGCATCAAATCACTCACAACATCAAGAACTTCTATAGAACATCAAGAAATCATCATAACAAGTATAAAATAGGTTTTGTAGAGCATGAGTTACCTCTTGTAGTCTAAAGAACGCTCTTTCAAGCTCCTAGACATCTCCTTGAAGATCCTCCTCCAACAGGTCTTCCAAACACAAACCAAAATCCAAATAAAACAAGAATATTAGGTAAGGGTGGAGGAAAGCTAAGTAATAACACTATTAAAACCTATAAATCACCCTTCCTAGTGTTGTAGAGGTAGAAAGGTGGAATCTTGGAGACTTTCTCTTGAAAAGTTAGGAGGCTTTAGGCTTCTTGGAGAGAAAGCTAAGGTGTAGTGAGAAGGTAGAGAGAAGGAAAAATCCTGAAATGACTTGGAGTGCCTTGGCTAGAGTATGGTTTTAAGGCTAGAATTTGTGAAAATACCAAAAGGGCACCTTCTCCCCAAAAACAAGTTAGGAGAAGAACAAGGTCTATGGTACAAGGATTAAAGCACAAGGTCTACGCATTGACCAAATTAAAATGCTAAGGGATTTGGTCAAACTATGTCCCTTAGCTAATTTAAAAAGGGAAATTAAGAAAAGAATTGTAAGGCCACAAAGAATTAATTAAGAAATTAATTCGAGTTTAAGGAGTGAATTTCCGGGGTGTCACAGAAAATCTATCAGAAGTACACACTCCTGAATTATTGAATAGTTTGAGATTGTCGGGTCTTCCTAATCATTCATTGACAATAAAGGTCAGTGCACCTATTACGTTATTGCGGAACATAGACCACTCTCTTGGTCATTGTAATGGGATGCGGCTCATCACCACAAGATTGGCAGATCACATTGTCAAAACAATAATAGTTAATTGGACACATGAAGGAACAAAAGTTCTTATTTCCCGAATGTCTCTCAGTTATTCTGATACGAGATTGCTCTTCACGTTCCAGCGAAAACAATTCCCGTTGATGCTTGCATATGCCATAACTATCAACAAAAGCCAAGGCCAAACACTAACTCACGTTGGGTTATTGCTAAAAAAATTGGTCTTTAATCACGAACATTTGTACGTGGCTTTCTCCCAAGTCACTCATCCTGATGGCCTAAAGACGTTAGCTCTAGACGAGGATGGACAAGATTGTGTTGTGACTACCGATGTCGTTTACAAAGAGGTTTTCAATAATATGTAAATACAATCGATGATATTATGTTTTTTTTTTTTCAAAATGACAAAATTGCTATATATCAAGAAAAAAAATATCATCTATACAAATGAATTAGGATAGAAATTGATTACTATAACTAAGTTGCTATAGAACGAGCACATTTGTCCAAGTTATAAAAATCCTAAACAATGATATATAAATTCTCTAAAGTTACAGCACCGCATGCATAGATCTACACATTAACTATTAATTTGTGCAATTATTTACTCAAATTCAAGCAATGATAACATCAATAAACATAAACGATCTAAATCATATCTTCAATTGCACTATATAATATTTGATGTTATAATTTAAATAATAATATATCGATCCAAATATTCTTAATATATTATAACAAATCCATTTTGTGCATCGCACGAGTGAAAATACTAGTATAATTACAATTAAACATGAATCTTTGATTTTTTTTTTAATTATTACAACTAATTTTTTGATTATATATATATATATATATATATATATATATATATATATATATATATATTATAGAGAGAGAGAGAAAGAGAAAGATAATATCTTTCGTGTAATTACTATGTTAACTTTATGATAATATCTTTCTCTTTCTCTATCTCTCTATAATATATATATATATATATATATATATATATATATATATATATATATATATATAGTGAATGTATAAAAGTATAATTGCACAAATTAATATAATTATTTAGTAATTATCATGGTAATTAAGGAATTAATTGCAAAGACATTAATATAAGTGACTAATAATTATTATAATAATTAAACTAATAATTACAATTAAACATGAGTCGTTGGATTTTTTAAAATAATAATTACAATTTATTCATTCAGATATGGAGGAGGAATAAAAAAGTAAAGGTGATATGTGAAAACAAATATTTTTAAGGTATAAAAGTACAATTGCACAAATATTAGTATAATTGTCTAATAATTATTAGGGTAATTAAGCTAAACATGGGCCGTTGAATTTATTTTTATAATAATTATAATTAAATTATTTTTCCTTTTTCCCATATTTATTTTAGTAATAATAAAATTACATAAATCATATTACATATTGAATTTTTAAAGATAATTGCAGACAAACGAGTCATATATTATTCAATTAATCACATTGATACTTTGCACTAATCTTGTAATCAAATAAATGTACACTTTCAAATATTAGAATTTTTTTGAAAACGCTTTCGAATATTAGAATTATTTATAATTTCATCTTCTTTTTTTTTTTAATGCTACTGACTCTATTATAATTTTATCTTTAATTTTATTATCTAAATATATTATAATAAATAAATTATATGTGCATTGCATGGGTAATTGGACAATTATTTGTTCGAATTCAAGCAAGGGTAACATCAGAAAACATAATCAATCAAACATATTTCATCAATTGCACTATGTAATATTCGTTGTTATAATTTATATAATTGTATACCAATTTAAATATTTTTAAAATAT